CAGCGCGCCATGCGCTATTGATACTTTTGTTTTAAGAGAAAGGAACCATCTTTAAATCCAGGGCGACACACGTCAAAGATGCCAATGGCTCTGCCGCGATTACATAAGTGTCAAATGTCAGCCGGGAGGGTGCTCTAGAACTGCTATTGCTACAAAACAGGCAGGTGAGAAGGGGGAATTACGTGTATTTCGGTCAAAACAAAAACAAACAAACAAAAACCCCACACACTAAACAACAAAGTCTCGATGGAACCTGTTTTGTAGAACCCTCTGGAAGACTTAAACCACTTCACTTCTCCGAGGATTGGGGCCTGTTCGGGCCGAGTAAGAGAAAGATTAGTTTTAAGTCAATGTTAACAAAATGGGTCGAGCTAGTGGCTACATAGAAATTCAAGGAAGATGACACAAGAACGTCCCCAAGCTGGCCCACCCTGCTCTCGGGAGAAGACAGAGAGGAAGCGGGGAACTTCCAGGCGCGGGTCTCTTTGCTGCGGTTAAGTGCTGTCAGGTGGGAACCCGACTTGGAAGTTCTGCTAGGGGAGAGCTAGAGCCGGTCAACCCACGCCGGTTCTGCACTCCGCGCTCCGCGTGAGGAAGCGCAGCCAGATGCACGGTGGGTTCTTCTACCAAAAATCCCAGAACCCCTCTCCAGGACTTGCCTCAGCCTCCCTGGGGGCTGACCTCTCCACAATTCTCAGCCCAGCACCCCTGAAAAACTGCTGCAGCACGCGCACCCGACCCCGCGGAACCAGAACTGGGGTGCTCCCACGGAGGACTCCGAAAGGCTCCAGAAGACGGGAAAGAGCAAACCCCCAAATATCCAGAAGTATCTGCAAAGTAAATTTTCGTAGGAATGTAAATATGTCGCTTTTCAAATGAAAATCGCCCCTCTCCCCGCCCCCTGACCTATTCGCAACCCTTGGTTTGCAATCTTGGTTTGCTTTGAAGTATCTATCTAGGTATATACACAGGTGAAGAAATCATATGCTTGAAGGAATGCCTACTGATTTCCAGAGTCAATTTACAGAAGAAAATTCTAGGCCAGTCTGATGCCTCGGATTTAATCTGATGTGCTCAGCTACTACAGACAACCTTACATACACAAGGACGAGCAACAGCATGCATTTTGATAGACTCCATAAACCGGTTCCTCCCGTGGGAGTGAGCGCCTGAGTGGGTGGGCGTTGGTCCTTGCCGCTGTCTCTAGAGTGCAGCTTCTTATTCTTCCGTCGTCCCGGGCGGGGGCCGGGAAAGTTATTTAATTCCTGAAGCCACTTGGTTTACAGGCTCTTGAGAAACATTATGCAGTTATCGCCCTCTTGTGGATCTTAGCATTTCTCTACTGCCCAAAGAAGAACTGGCGAGCATTCCTTTGGATTGTCAGTGGCACAGACAACCTGAGTGTAATCCCGGTGCCATTCATTAGCATTTGCTTAATTTCTGTCTGATCTGCCAAATTCTTGACGCGAAGGATGGGTCTATTATTCTTGCTTTAGTCTACCACAACCCTTCTGGAATGAACATTTCATTTTTTAAATCTTTCTAACTATTGAGAATCACACTGTTACTTGGCTTCATTGCCATTTTTTTCAGAATTACGTTGGTTTTCTGTTTTTTCTTCTCTACTCATCAAGTGGAATTTTGCTCATTAGGAACATTTGTAAAGTTCAGAGGACATACAAGTACATATATACCCAAACATTCACACTGTTACTTGGCTTCATTGCCATTTTTATCAGAATTACGTTGGCTTTCTGTTTTTTCTTCTCTACTCATCAAGTGGAATTTTGCTCATTTGGAACATTTGTAAAGTTCAGAGGACATACAAGTACATATATACCCAAACACAGTAACCTGCAAACCCACCGTCCATGTCAACACTGTGATCCACATATATGTTCTCTTAATGTTGAAATCATGCTAAGTAGATAGAGTTGCACATCACAGATCATTTTATAACCTTTATTTACTTGTGGAAACAGAGACAAATGTGGTTTGGGAATTAGCCTCCCATGAGAAGGGTCATGTGCCTGTGTCAGAAGGACTTGCACACTTTAACAAACTGCAATCTTGCCTATAGATTGCTTCAGGGGCAAGGTCCCTTCCTCCATCTTTACATTCACCATCAACCCCTTCAAATAGCCATTACTCCTCAGCATTGCTGTGACAGAGTAACAGGAATAGCAGCTAATAAATGTTTAGTGTCCCAGGTATTTTATGGCACTAATTCAACAGCTCTACAAATTAGGCAAAATAAACATTCTCCCATGGAATGGAGTTGTAGAACAGAGAATTTAAGAATT